TTTTCTTCCTGTGAAATATAGTTTCTTTTGGAGAAAATTCTCATTCCTGATTTAATTTCCTTTGACTATTTTCTAATGATTTTGGGTCAGCTTTAATATTTTATGAGTCATTTCATTATTTGTTCCATCTCGGTTCCTCAGTGCCTGAGTCAGGCACCACCTTTGTCCTGCTGTGCAAGTTTTAGCCTTAGCCAGAATTTAGAGTTTTTCCCATGTGGATGAGCATCAGCAGTACATAATGGGTGTGCTATTTGTGATATCTTCACAATAAAATTCCCTTCAGGATGGTGGAAAGAAAGGCTGTTTTTCCCCTTAGAAATTCTCTCCCCTTTGCTGCTTACCACAGCCATGTTTCTTTGGCCATGTCTCTGCCATATGCCCAGCCAGCAATAAATGGCCATGAGTTTTATTTCAAATGGATTTATTAGGGATGGTGAGTAATGCATTTTTATGCTGGATTACTTATTATACTCATGTCTTGTGTCAAGATCTAGTTGGATGAAAGAACTGAGTGCATTAAAATACCATTTGAGAAGGGTTTATTAGTTAATAATACCTTGAAATGCACTTGAATGCTTTTCCTCATGTAAATTTATGTAAATGTTTTTAGACTGAAAGCTGAATTATTATAATAAAAGCAGTATTATGTATATTGAGGAAGCTGAGCTGTTTGGGTTTGGTCACCGTATCTCTTGGAGTTGAAGAAGCTCATCCTGTCCAACCTAATTATTTCCACAGATCCCAAGAAAGCTTTTCTTTTTCCTCTCAGTTCATCTCTGAGCTCTGAGTTGAATTGTACTAGTTGGAGAAACACAAATGTTTAAAAAGTTCTTTTGGTACCTGCTGTTATGTTGAGGCCAGATTAGGGTTTAAGCAAGTTCTGTTCCAGGTGCTACTGCTGGTTCAGCCATTAGAACCCTCTTTAAAACTTTGAGAGCAAATATAACCTGCTTAATGCCAACTCTCTGCAACTGGAACTAGATGGATTTGTTAATTTGTTGAATTTATCTCTGCCCAGTACTATAGACTGTTCCCTCTCTGGAGCTATATAAAGAGATATGGTGGCTTCCTCTGCTGGAGCTAAAGATGGCCACTAAGGGTAGCAGCTTTATAAAGGATTGCTCTGACTGCCTTATATCACCAGATCCAAGGTGATAGCTATTAGCACCTTTCAGCTAGTGTAAATGTAGAAAAGCATATACCTAATGAGGAGAGAGCAAATGTTTGAACAAGTGCTCCAGGGAGAGCTGTAGAGAGAGCATTAAGATGGAGCACTGCATCTGTCCAAGGACTGCATCCTTGGAGGGCACTGACCACAGCAACATTCCCATCTCAGATTCTTTTTTCACTTCTTTTTTTTTTAAATTTCCACTTTAAAAAAATATTTAGCTGTCATTGAAGATAACTGGTAGTGAGTTATGCTCCTATTTACTGTCAGTTTTACTCTTCCCTTCTCTCCACACTCCCTCTTTGAAGGACCAAACAATTGATTTCTCAGGCAGAGGCAGTGTGAGAGAAGCTGGCTCACAAATATGACTTTCTTCTGACCACTGATTACTTTCGCTGACAAACTATTACTTCTTATCCCTGCCTTTAATGTGTGTAAAAATTTCAGTTAAAAAACCTCTGCTTTCCCCCTGATTTTCCTCATGTGGTTTGGATTAGGAAAATCCGGGACCCAGCAGGAGACACAGCAAACCCAGACTGAACTGCAAAATGGATTACTTCAAGTGTGGTGAGTGGGGGTTAGAAAGACATTGCACGTAGAATTGAAACTACCTTATCATAGATACTGCACTTGATCTTAGCCAAAAGGCTGAGTATTCCACACACTGGAATCTTGCTAACTCTAATTTTATCAGAAAGTCTGTCTGATCTGACTTCCATATCATGTTTCTTTCTGTTTAGCAAGTGTAGTCACTTTGGCCGGTTGTGTTTGTTCTGTTTACTTTCTTAAATTTGTGGAAATGAGTGTGATCTTTCTTTATTTGGAGTAATAAAACCAGAGAGAGATTTTATATCAACATCTTTGAAATTGAATTTGTGGAAATATTTTGTCTATATGAGGTTTTATTTGATTCTTTAATTCATTTCATTTCCTGAATTTAGATTCAATTATATGTTCTTCCTTTTAAATGTATTCTGTTGTCTATCTAGAATAGCTCTTCTTGTGGCAGATGCAAATATTAATGAAGTCTCTGATCTGGTGTGTAGACATTATTGAACACTAACAACACAATCTGAATTTGTATCTGCTTTCTAGGTCTGGAGAAAACAAACTTACCTCAGTGATGTACCCATTCAGGTACTTAACTGTTCTAGTGAAAATCTCGAGGAGCAGGGAGGAGAAGGGATTAGGGTGATGTGAGTTTGAGCTGAGGGAAGCATTGTTCTGGATTTGTAATTGGCCTCTTTTAATATAAGATTCATTATGTAGCTTGTTATATAATTATTGTTCTATTATTATATTCTATATAATTTTATAATTGTTCTGTTACTATATTGTAGAATTTATCTGAGTGAGGTTGCATGTAGGTTTATATTGAAAGAGAGACAGCTTTTTCCAAGAAAAAGCATATGAGTAGAAATCATTATATTTAAATAGAATTTAATCTACATCCTTAAACGTAAGACTTGTGCTGACATTCCAGTACCATTAAAAAAAAAAAAAGGCACATTGGTGTTACAAATGTAGGTTATGGTATTACAGTTGAACCTTTGCAGTGTGGGTTACACTTTTGTGCTATTTTCCCAAAACAGGGAAACTTCACAGGGACTCCACAACAATGGATATGAACATGTAGAAGCCCCAGCATGGGAAGTTTAGTCTGTTTCTACATTTTTTTTTCCCTGTTTCACAGTCCATTTCATGTTTATAGTTGTGTTAAATTGCTGGTATTTATCTCAAGGTGCTTTGTCATTTCTGAGCTGGATGTCCTACAAATAAACAACTGATGGCAAGGGCAGCAGAGAATCAATCCATACAGAACAGGGGATGTGGAAATGAGCACTAAGACAGGGAACAGAGGATGACAGAAGCCTTAGCTTATCACCAGGTAGAGCATAAGAAGAGGCAAAACATCTGGGGGGGAGTAGGTGAGTGATGAGAGAGGTACATTACTGTTTTCTCACTAAGGAACAAAATTTACCAATAATTTGTCAGGCTCTACCTTTTCAAGATGAAATTCATTACTACATCAAAGTGAATGCCTTGCTGCTAACAGAAAAAAATGCCCCTATTTAGAATGTAAATGAGAAAAATGTATGAATTACATTTATAGATATTTAAAGAATTGTGAGTGGCTGGGTGGATGGAGTTAGTCTTGTTTTAGAAATTGACTTTGGCATAATTTGATAATAAGTAATAAGCTTCTGATTCCCTAATAATTTGAAATGTAGCAAATCATTACTGAATGTGTGTGCTGCATTACATATGAAGCGTACACAGCCAAGAGGGGTGTGTGGTGGGTTGGTTGGTTGGTTTGTTTGCAGCCTGTCTACTTCCCTTCTCACCCTCCCTCTCTGGCAGACCACCGTGAGGGAAGGCTGAAAGTCAGCCTTGCTCAGCACTGAATTGTGCCAGCTTGAGGATGCTACCCTTTTCCAGAAGAGCTTGGGAGCCCTTCAGGGGTTAGAAGCATATAACTCGAAGTTATATACCTCCTATGTTCCCTCCACCTCCTTCTGCCTGGAGGAGAAACCTGTTTGAAACCCCTGTATTGGGCAATTCTTGGAAACAGACACCTGAATGCAGATGCGTTCTTGTCAAAAGGAAACCCAGAAAACATTTGCACAGATGTGGTTGACACAGGAGGTCATGATCTCATTTCATATGTCATTGCTTAATCTTAGCCGAGATAATTACAGACATATGGCTGTCTAAATATGAAGTCAACAGGAAGGTATCCAGCTACACGTGGTACTACAAGTAAATCAGATTTAACTGCAACAGCCAGCAGCTGAAGCTATTAGGTGAACATCGGATGTTCCCTGACAAAATTTATCATAAAAAACAAAGAAAATAAATTTACATTTAGTCATTCTTTGTATGTCTTTGTGGATAAAACTCACATTAGTATCTCATAATGTTCAAATAATAATCAGTATAGAATTTAGAGTTATTTGTATATGTTTTTCAAAATGTGACAGGATGAAAACTCGCTGTCCAGGGAAAGTGTAACATATTGCCTAAACCATCTGTGGTGCTGGGTTGATGCTGGCAAGCCCTGGATAATACAGGGACAATCAGGTGTGGAGTGTTTGCTTCACTGGCCAGCAGCAGTCAGGTCAGCGCTTTCCCCATTTAGGCTCTGACCAGCTGCTGGTCCCAGCAGTGCAGTAGTTGTAGGTGCAGCAAAGCCCTCAGACAGAGGCTATTCTGTAGTACTCAGAACCAGTACAAAATGTCCCTGATGCTTTGCCTTTTGTTGTGTTGGCCCTAAGTATTTATTTTTTTTCCCCTCCTTTCCGAAAGGCCTCACCTTCTGGCTGCACCATTACAACGTTTCTGTGTGTTTTAATAGTGGTTCATATCTACTGCAGCACAGCTATAGTTTTGGTATTATTGCTTCTGAGGACTCACAGAGTTGCTCAGGAAGCTTGTGGGATGTTTTTGCAGGATACTGCCTTTGCAGCATGCAGCCAAACCTGTTGGTTTGTTCCAGCTTCAGTGGCAGTTTCCAGCATAGCCATGAACAGACACCACAAATCACCTTATTTCCTGACTGTAAAGCAAGAGGGTGGGCTCTCCCCTACTCCCCTTTGCCGTGCTTTTAAACCATTTGTAAGCAGGGATTTGTTTTTCTTCCTGTGTGAAATAAACTAAGGTTGAACTCTGGTGTGGTGTACAAACTCAGATTTGAACAGGCCCCCTAAGTTTCACTGATATGGTAATTTTTAAATCCAGGTCACAAGCACAGATGTCCATGATGAACTCTGGGAAAGTTTTGTGTGCCAGCTGGGCACGTGCTTTTCTCTGAGCGAGTGTTTATGCTCCCTAGGTCCTGACGCTGCGGTCCAGGAGAAGGTCCACAAACCCACTCCAAGACCCCTTGGCTTTGCTGGAATTTTCATCCCAGACGACTATTGAGGCTATTTGCAGGATTACAGTGAGCAGCAGCGTGAGCTCTGGGTAAGCGCCCTCCCTCGTGCTCGTACGTGTTCTGGTAAACTGAGATTTCAGACAAGCAAGTGAAGACATACTTCAGTTTTATTGTTGTTTAGGCATGGATAGAAACATTAATTCTTTTGCACTCTTGGTTCTTGAAACTTGCCTATAGTGAACTCGGAGCAGTGAAAAGCCCAGCTCCTAGGACTGACGATTTAAAGTGCATAGGAGATCTAGCAGAATCCCAAAAGGCGAGGAGTTGGTTTTATTCCTTCTTCTGTAGCTGTGGAAGCTGAAGGACTTTTTTTCTTCTCCTTTGCCCTGTATTCCCCTGACAGTGGTATGAAAATTTTCAGCCCTTCCCTATGCTTTCCCTTTGGAAGTTTCCCTATCTTTGGAAGTTTCCTCTCTGTATTTAAGAACTATTTGTAGTGTTATAAACAAAGACAGGTGATATTTGCACACTCCTTCACAGGACTCTGTTACAACTTTTCCCATTTAGAGTCATGCCTACTGAATTTGTTTTTTTCTTTTAAAAAACGTGTATCACTTGGCAGTGTTCTCGCACCAAAAGAAAAAGATATATTTATATATAAAGTAACTTTTTTGTGTGTTCACGTTTTATTTTGGAAAAAGAGGTGTTTAAAAATTTTAGAATTTTTTTAACAAAATTCTAAAAAGAAAAAAATCACAATATTTACAGAGATAACAGAATGGCTTAGCCATGCAAAACAAATTACTTTGGTTTTTTCCCCCATTTTACTTTGGTTTAAATATTGACCAAGATTATAATTTTTTTTCTTTTTGCCAAATAAAACAGTAACAAATTAAAGTTTAGAGGCATATAACAGGATTTCCCTCTAATATTTTATACAGCATAGAGTTTATAGGACATCTTATGTATTTAATCCATGCCAATGCACTACAGGAAGCTTTTATTAAGACATCAGTCACTACTGCCCAGACATTTAACATTTTACAAATTTACAAGTAACAGTGTTTTCTTCCCCCTAAATAATGCAAAAGTGGCAAAATACATTTCCTAACGTCCATCTTTTTCATTTATTTATTTATTTATTTATCTATTTATTTATTTATTTATTTATTTTTGCCTACCAGTCTATAAAAACTTACTTTTTCCCTGGATATTTGTAAATGGAAACCTGATGTTCTGCTTAATCTACTCTTTCCCTCCATCAAAGATGCCTGTTACTGTCTTCCAGAAACTAACCTTCCAGATATATTGAAACATCTCCCTTAAGTATGACTTCCTTTTGGCCATTCACCCTAAAACCTTCTCTTATCAAGTACCATTCTAAAAATTCCCTCAAGCAAAAAACATGTTTATAAAGTTACAAACTTGAATGTAACTAAAGATACATAGACATTTCATTGTTACAATTATATGTACTGTTTGATAAATTAGGTACCAGTTAAAAACACTAAAATTATCTCAAGGTGCATTCAATATCTGTAGCATAGTTAACAAAAACACACAAAAAATATATATATTCTATTTTTGTGGGAAAAAAATGCAGCTTTGATATGACCACTTTTTAAAAAAAGGTTCCAATTCTGACTGGTATCTCTTTGAAATGACAATTTACAGTACTTTAAGGCAGCGAATAACATAAAGGAATCAAAATTAACCCAGAATTCCAGTTCCTTATCCTAATGCTAACATGAAAGACGACTCATAATGATCAATAAAATGCGTGTCTTGCTCTAGAAGGAAAGGATTATTAGCCACCGTCTGTATGTAGGCTAGGAATTTTTCATAGTGTTCCTTGCTTAATACCCAGACTTCTTCAGGGAACCTCTTTATTCCCCTTCTGGCTTGTTTAGCTTTGCACGGTTTTTTAAACATTCACTTTCATTAACATCTTAGTTTATTCTTGTCACAGCTGTCACCCTTCTGCTTTATCATGACTTCAAAGAATGAAAAAGGACTTTGACATTTTCCTTTAAGACAATCTTACACTGTAGGTACTTGCTACAAACCAGAGGCTTCACTGAAAACAACCAGAACTAGACATGTACCTGCTCAAAGGGTGTCATAAAAACAATTGAAATAAAAACCATTACACTATACATCAGATTAACAGCAACTCCCAGAACAAAGCCTTACAGTGTATAAAAATAGCTACGTAAAAAATTTACATAAAGGCAAACAAAAAGAAATCTTCAGTGCAGACATTTACAAAAAAATATTTCGAACAGAACACAACATGGTGACCTATTATCATGGCTGTTGCCAAAATTAGTTTGTGGGGTTTTTTTATCTTGAGATAATTATGTCTAAAATCCTTTGAAAACTTGGTAGTATGATCTGCTTAATACTTGAACCATGAATAGCTGTCACTTCTTTGTATATGTTTAAATACAATCCACGTTCATGCTTCAATTGGTCTATATGTATTCTCTGCAAATATGAAAGATAAAGCCAGTTAAACACTTTAAAGTATATTAACCATCATAACTACTCAGTATCTAACCTTCAAATAAACAGCTACATGAATAGTACTTTCTTCTGCTGTTCAATGACATGAACACTTTCTTTCATGACAAGAGTAGCTGTTGCAATACTGTTCCCAGTAAATCCAGTAAGTTTATCTGGTAAGTAATGGATTTATGTCCATTTCATTTATGTAGATCTACTGATCTGAAGAACTACAGAGTAAACGATTGCACTGAAGGCACACAATGTTATTTGAACTCCTATGTTAAAATAAATACCCCCAGCTAACTTCATCTAATCACCTCAATATCACAATGTTGCAGAAGGTACCAGGACCAGGCAAAAAATACAGACTAAGGCCTAAGCAAAAAGATTACAGAATTTCCCCATAGAATTGTAGTAGGAATGCTGGGTATTTATGCTGCAACTTATTCAAAATCCAAATCTACTTCTTTCCTACTTTTAAGTCATTTATAGGATATAATTTTGATATTCCCAATTCCCTTTTTGAAATTATAAAACAGTGATATTACTAGTAAAGTGCCTATAGCAGTGCTGCATCTCTTTATATAATGTGTAAGTGCTTTAACTAATTCAGTGAATTTTGAATATTTAACGCAAAACTTGTGGCTTGTACTTTAAAGTACAATCCCAGACAATACCGGTATTATTAATGGCAGCTGTATTTATTTAAATAAGAAACCTTTTAATGTAAATATGAAATACCATAGTTCCACTACATGCTTTAAAACCCTACTACCTCAAGAAGGTATCCAATGCTATTTACTTAAGATCCCTGAAAATCAGGGCTGCCTACAGCTTTCCTGTGGAGGAAGTTACAATGCAGCACTACTGAACGGGTACTACTCTCATTTTTAAGAACAGCTGATGACTAACTGAACAAACCTCTGGATGGTCAGCTGGTTTCCAGACTCTTGGGCTACCCCAGATTTTAAATGTCCTAAAGTGGCCATAAGAATGGTCTAAACCCCTACTTTGGGTTCTAAGAGGAGTGGCATATATACATGCAGCAGTGGTGTATATATGTGTGAGCACAGGGTGGTGCTGTTGGTGCTCTGTAGTGCTCCTGTAATTCCAAACAGAAGTTCGGCATCTACCGAATCGCTGGTGCACAGAACCCAGCAGGGGAAACTTTCATGCTAAACGTAATATACAGTGTCTCTTTACAGGATAAAACTGATCCTAGTAAAAGTATGGAAAATCTAGAGTGAAAAGAATTGTTTTGTTCTAAAGGAAGTTTCATGCCATTTGCACTAATGATGAACAAAGCTGACTGGGAGAACTTGGAAACTGTTGCTTTTCAGTAAGAGAAGAAGGTTCCTGTAAACATTTCAAGTCACAACTTGAAACCTTCTAACTCTACCTAAATATATTCTTCATATATACACATACACACACACCTGTACCACAGTGACACATTATATAAATTCATATTTTCATTTCCTCAAATATGTGGATTATCTAAATGTCAGGCTTGTTTTAATATCTCTGTGTGCAGCTTCAAATTCTTAACTGGCCAGAAGCTTGAGTCTGTCTGTCCCGATACTACACCACTCAAAGTGACCCCTCTGCCTCATCTCTGGAAGGTGAGCAACAGATTCCACAAATGGTGGACAAAGGGATGTTAAATTCTGCAATATTAAACACTTACCTGGAATGATGACTGACACATTTTCTCTTAAGTTTCAGATTTATGATTGTTTTCCTCTAGTTTTTTGTTTTCTTCTATATTTCCAAGATCTTTGTCTACATGTTTTGATGCTGTCCTATAACGTAAAAAAGAAGGTCATTTTTGCACGTCTACAGCGTTTTGTTCCATCCTCACATTAATGACACTGCCTCCTCCCCTCGAACGGAAAACTTTGACAGGTTCTGTTCTCAGCAGGTTTGCATATGTCTGTAAATAGGCCAACGGCACCAGATTTCCCACTGGTGTTGGTACCACAGGAAGTATTGCAAGTAGGGCTCTGTGTGTTTGATTTACCTCTTGAGGAATTCAGAATTATCCTGAGCTAGCAGACATTTAGCAAGGTTAAACCAGTTGTGGAGATCCATGTTTCCTGACAAAGTAATTGTGTAGCTTGTTTCAAAAAACAAGAGTTTGCTTTAAGGCGTACTAAAATGTTACAAGTGTGGCTAAGATATCTTGATCAACACAGCAATCTTTTGTGTACTTGTAGTAAATGACTTACAGAGCCCGTGCCAAACGGAAGCTCTTTAAATGTGAAGAAATTCATGAAAATTCTGGCAACACTGAAAAAAAAATCACACTCTGGTTTCTAGATCTGTGCTAGCTGTGACTGACAGGCTTTGGGCAAAGATGAAATTGTGTAGATGTTTGGAGGGGGGGGGAAGAGGTATGCCTCATTTTAAATAGCAGGTCTTCCTTAATGCAAGTAGTGGAGATGAATTAATGAGTTAAGTGCTTAGTTTATCTTAGCACAATAAAACCACTATGCCATTCATTTAATCTGTGAGAAGCCTCACTGTCTGCCAAGGTGAAAGATTCCTGCAGTGCTGCGATAACATTTTGAAGGCCGCAATTTTTAAAATGTAAATGGGCAAATGTGTTTGAGTGGGACAAAGTAAATCCCTTGTGTCAAAGCAGATTATCGTATATGCATTTTCTCTACAGATAATTTGTTTCCCCTACAGAAAAGTGAGGTCTGTTGTGACAGATTCATGCATATGCTCGCCCTTGCTTCAGGGTAAAGACCCGCAGTGACGCTGACTTGCAAAATACAATGAAGACACAGGTTAGCAGGATACTGTGACATGTCACGCTGACACCATGCAGGTATGTACCTCCCCAAACCGCTGATCTGAACTTTTGCTGGTGGAGTGTTTCTGTGCACATCCTCCATCTGAGCAGAGGCCGTGAGCAGTGGCTATGAACTGTGTGTGCCCACCCTTGAGTGGTACTGACAGTTTAGTCTTTGTCTCTGAAAGGCTTCCGATGGGGTGCAAATGCACCTAACCCCCAACACCTCTGGGAGTGGTGCTGAAATGCTGCTCTCTGGGCTGGGGAGCAGCTCTTGAGGTAGAGTGCCAGGAGAGCATGGGATTCTGGATCCCAGAGCCCAGAGACTACACTGAATGGCACCATTCTAAAATGTTTTTTGTTTAGAGGAGGTTATCTCCTGAATGGCTCTAAGTTTTAATGCTTCAAAACTGCATTTGCCTTTTACGATTGGTTTTAGAGCGCCTCTATTATATTTGTGTAATTGATAGAAAGGTGTTGGTGTTGAAAACCTACTTACTGCAAAGATCTGGACTCCTCTTTACTGCAGGCAAATTTAATTTTGTACTGAGATAGTATTAGTAAGTTATTCTACAGTGGTAAATTTCTATTGTGCAATAACATTCTACTTTTTTTCTGGTATTCCAAACCTGAAACACGTGATATGCATTAAAAGGAAAGGATGTGAAATGCAATGAAGAATAAAATTCAGTGCTTCAGTAGAGACTGACCTTCTGTGATAACTGACCTTCTTAATAACCTTTCACAAATCTCTTTAATCCTCACAAAAAAGAAACAACCCCTCAAAAAAAAATCCCTTGAAAATTAAAAAAAGTTTTTAATTTAAATTAAAAAAAATGTTTGGTTTAGGCTAAGCACATAATTTGGTTTGTCATGCAGCGAATGAGTCTTTTCCATATATAAGTCACACAAAATTGGAGACAACAGGGAAAGAGATGAAAAGCTGAAAGAATCTGGACTCAGGCAATTACCTGAGCTGAAATAAGTTGGAGGCAAGAAAGCAGGATCCTGCACGTCTGTCCTCATGTAACCACTTATGTCTGCTCTGGGAGACTGGATAGACTATTGGCATGGCTCAGTGTGATCCTTTTTATTTGGCCTCTTATCAAGAGTTTTACAGTGCCCAAAGCAGACTGAATCTCATATGACCTGACACTTAACAGCAGACGGAACTGTAACCAGCATTACTGGTCTTTGATTAGGTTAAAATTATTCGGTGATTAAAGCTAGGAGATGCTGCAATGAGATCAGGTTTTGAGTTTTAAAGTGCTCTATTTTAGTTCTGCATTCAATGAAACTAAATGTCACCTCTATTTTCCTAAAGCCACAACGAGTGAAAATGGGAGACCTAAAGGGCAACACTGTGACTTTGAAAGAGGCAGGAGATCCAGAACTCTTTTTGAGGATGTTATAAACCACTTGCTTGAAATGAGAGTAGTAGCAGTTTTTCATGTCTGACAATCAGATGGATTTCGATTCTCAATGCCCGAGACTGAAATGCAGCTGTTTATTTATGATGGTTCAGTGATCTTGCTGACCCTTTTTTTCTGTTGTTCCCCACATAGCAATATCTAGGCAGATTAACCACCTTAGCACAAACAATACTGCTGCCTATTTTAGTGCTATTTAAATAGTGTTGTTAAAAGACACAAGAGTAATTTTGTGCTAAGTTGCAGCAGTGTGATCCACTGGCAGTGCTCTGCCAACAGCAGAGGAACAGCCGACTCTGGCATGGCACCAATCCTCAGGGCTCAACAGACGTGGCTTGGGTTTGTAACAGAAATGTCTCAAAACATGGTTTCCATCGCTTCCTGAGGTGATTGAGGCGCAGGACAAATGGTCCTTTGCCAGCTTAGCATTCAACAACAGTTGTTCCTTACTCTTCGTGCATTAACTCCTGTCAGCTCACTCCATCTGCAACTCAAGAGCAACTTCTTGATGATATCTGAGCAGCTGGGGAATGTAGTCTGAATGGACAGAAATATTCCTGAGGATTTGCCAGAAAGGGTAGACGGCCCACTCTGCCCAGGCCTGGAGCACTCTCTCACACTGTAACATTATCTGCAGCTCCACAAACAAAGCCCACACCTTCCCGTGCTCTGGCCCTGTTGTTCTGAGGAGCGAGAAGTTGGCTTCAGTTATTCTTTTTTTTTTTAAATTAATTTGTAAAACATGAATCATTCTGAGCTAAAATTATGACTCATACTTTACACATATCTATGCTTGCTCTTCAGGAAAATAATTATCCTCAGGGATTCCTAATCAAAATCTCTTTGCAAGTAATACTGAAGTGAGATTTTTAGCTTTCTTTGGAATGTGTGCATTTTGAGAGGCTGCTATTTTAATAGATTTTGTTCAGATACATTTTCCATGTCAATTGTTTTGCCTGTTGTACTGTAAATACAGACTGCATATAGGTGTCCCGAAAATTGTTGTAGGGTTTTAATTTCTGATTTCTTTTCATCTTGCAAGTCCAGGCCTTGCCCTCAACAATGTTTAAGAAAGACAGGAGGCAGTGCTGTTTTTCCTTGTTACCCAAGCTTGAGACAATGACAGGTAAGAGGACAGACATCAGTGTAGTTCTGCATGCTGAAGCAAGAGCCAAGAATTTCATTAAAGCTTGCATCCCTTTTGAAAGGCACATCAGAAACTCAACTGCACTGATGCAAAAAATTTTCTAGGAGCTGATGATCTTGTACATTCAAATTGGGACTATCGGCAATCTCCTCCTATTTACCCCAATCTTGCCTTGCACTTCCTCCAATTATTTTCAAATGTCCGTCAGCAAGGAAAAAGAGATATTAGAAAAATATTCCAGTCACCAAGAAATTGGTGACAATTTTTTAATTTATGTGGTGGCCTTTTACAGAGGATTTGTGTCATGTAACTATGTCTTTTCCCTGGAAGGGAACTGCACAAAACCCAATACAAATGAGTCTTTTTCATAACATACAGCAAGTTTCCTACATATTTGGATTCATATGCTTGTTTCTTATAAAATATCAGAAAGGCTGATATTTTTATTGCTATGCTTCAAGTGTTCAGTTTCAGAGAAACAGTTTTGACTACTGGGATCTAGGAAGTATTTGAAGAGTTTGGTGTGCTCCGAGTATGAACAATCTTAAGACTGCTGCTGTGCGTCAACTTGCCCAGCTGAACTTTCCTTCACCAGATTTTAAACCACTTTAACCTCAGTCCAGCCTCATGTGACTTGAGATTTGTGCATCTCCAAACCTCAGGCACAAAAATGGGGCAAAGGTCTGATCTACATGCAGAACTGCCATGACTGGAGAGCAAGGGTACAGGGTGCTGAGTGCACTATTTCCATTCCAGATCTTTAATTTCTGCTGTAGCCTCAGCTGTTTCTGGCAAGGTGAAAATTTCATAGATGAAGGATCTACTGAAGATGGGTCTCCTAGAATCACTCAACTGACACAAAAATTTTAGAAATATGCTGAAGTGCTAAGATATATTCTGTTCAGTGCAGATTAGTTTAAGACATCCTTTTTGGAAAAAGGAGAAATCTGCAGAGAACAAGTGTTTGGCCTTCTGCTCAGATGAAGGAGAAACAAGGCATGCCGGGGTAGGTAGCCTCAACTCTTTATTTAAGAGGGGGTTGCAGAATGTGGAATACAGATGAGTCCCTTATTTATGGGATAATATTCATACTGAAAAGAATATGTGGCAATAATCAGTTTTTCCATCAAGTGGAGCTGATGCAGTGAATAACTGTACAAGTGATTTATTGTGAACATACTCCAAGGCTACAAGTATAATTCCTACTTAGTGTGGATGACAAGACAATAGAATATTGTACAAACCACAACACCAATAACAAAAAAGTAATGTTTTTCTTGCCTCGGCAGACTTGCAAAGTTCTGTGCTGCTGCCTTCTCAGACTTTCCTTTGGCGTCACTTTGGGGATAGAGATTAGTTGAGTTACTGTTCAAGGGTGGGTTTAAAAAAAATAACTATGAACTGCTGGCCTGTATGGGGATGGAAGGGGTTGTGATTAGACACAGGTTGTGTCTAGAGGCGTAAGGTGCTTTTTATGTGGTCTACTTTGACTTCTAGGCTCTAAGTCATAATGAAAACTTTGACAGAATAGGTACTGGCACTCTGCTTCCTCTTGCAAGTATGGTGTACAGAAAGCAGGGAGTATAACATTAGATCAACTTAAATATCCTGAAAACAGGAGACTGTCAATGATGATGCATCAATTAAGGGTTTTAGAAGCCAGTAACCATATATCAAATATGGAGACTATTATATAACTATAAAGGTTTGGGGTTTTTTTCCAGTGAACCTCTCTAATCAATTCTAGTTTTAATTTTTCCTCTAAACTTGAGGAAAGTAAGTGTTGTCCATTTAGAATATGCTGTATGTTATCTCTGAAGCAGAAAAAGTTATATAGCGTGAGTTTATTAACTAAAATTCTACAATTCCTGTTAGCTCTCCCCATACTACATAATGGTACAAGAAAAGTTACTTACTTTACCTTCTCTGCCCTCCTTATACCCCAAAAACCCAAACCAGTGAACCAGTTTTATGATTCCACATTCACATATTCAAAAAGGAACAAAAAAAAGAAAATTATTCTAGACATTATCACAATAGTAGCAAAATGCGAGTGGAAGAGCACTGTATGTTATCCTTTTTAATTTTTACCAAAAGAAGCATAAGCTTTACAAAAACCCCCTCCATGTATTATATCTGAGTATGGTTCTGTGCTTGGGTGATTTGTAACAATTCTGCATTTGAAAAGCTTCCAAAATCTGATCAGTTATGGCTGAAGTAAAGTCCTTATGTATTATCTAAAAAAAGGATAACATAAATGAAAACACATTTGTTCATAGTAAAATCCAACTGGTATATTTTAGATCTAATTTGATCTAATTTTAATGAAAGGCCACAGAAAGAACAATTGAACTTTAAGACTACTTTTACACCTGTACTGATCTGTGCATGTTATGCATAACTACCCTAATCTCCCGTGATAAGAAGCAGCTGTAAGGAGCCCTTCAGAAAGCAAGCCTGCCCTCAGTTCTCCCTGGAGACAACTGTACAGGGATAAGGCCAAATGGCATGCAGTCATGACCAGCATCAAAAGGATGCAGAAACGTGGTCACTTCCTGAGATCATCCAATTTATTTTCTGAAGTGAGCCTGTGATAACGAAGAAACTTGAAAGCAAGCAGGCCTCACTGGCAAATCCCATTCTATGCCTAGGATGGCTAAAGCATATTGATTTGAATGATAGCTTCCAGACTTTTCAGCAACACAAGCTCTACCTTTACCAGTTTTACTTCAGAGATCTCAAAGCACCTATGAACAAAACAACTCTTCTCCCTGAGATCGTTTAGTCTTATTCTGTAAGTTATTCAATATTTAAAGCAAATGATGAAGACAGTTTCTAGCACCAGCAAAGCCAAACAGACTCCCACACATCAAGTTCCATAATTAAGTAGTAGGTGCTATGTTTAAATGCAAGAGCCACCACAGACTTGGCTGTCAGGAAAGACAACCTCATTACATCTACAATCTTTGAAAATCTTAGACCCCCACCTCCAGGAGATGAGTCCTGTTACGCATTAGGACAAGCCAACCAGAGGTGTCAAGTTTCCTTTTTCTATTAAGTGCACGTACTGTAACAGCTTTTCCCCACCCATGACTACTGGAATGCTGCAGGAAGGAAAACAGGTGAACGTACACTTCTGCCTATGGTTATTCTTTTTCGAATTTATCGTGAAGTTTTCCATAAATTCTTACTTTGATTTCTTCACATAGAGCCAGTAGACAACACCTGCAACCAGGGCAACCAGCAGAAGACCGACCACAATTCCCACTATTAGCTTTGCCTGGTCATTAACTTTTTCGCTATTGTCATCTGAAGCAAAGAAGAAAAGTTAGAGATGACTTATGACAAAGTAAAACATTACACCAGTTCTAAAGAATTTTCATCAGAAACAGGAAAAGGGGTCAGCAAGTCAAAATAAATAAAACAAAAAATGTAGGCATTGTTCTTTAAATGTACTTTCATCTTTTAAGCTTCAAGAAAATCACGTCTTAGTCAATCATGGCACGAGCCATTTCAAATTAAGTCCACCTTTGAGGGACTGCAGAAATTGTGCACTGGCACCATGTAGGTCTTGAACTAAGACAATCAAAAGAAAGGGTTATAGAGACAGAAAACCATACATACCAGTTCTATCCTCTGGCTCATCATATTCTGGAATACTTACTGAAATGAAAAATGTTAAAATTAAATTAAAGACAAAATGTATTAGACCTGAACATCACCTTTAATTGCCTATTTACTGCAATGACAGAAACTGAAACTTAATGCAGTGTTTGCCAAACAAGGTAATTAATCTCATCTTTAAACAAAAGTGTTTGTTTCCTTTGTAATATAATATATCCAGTTGAAGAATCTTACTCAAAATCTGTAATATTAAAGTGTGCTACCCTTCCACAAACTGTAGCTTTTCACTACCTTTCATCATTGAAAAGTGGTATCTGATTAAAGCCCAGTATGGCTGATTTCTGTTGTGAGTCAAGTCATACCAGTAGTAATAAACTGGAATTTGGAGACTAAAACATTATGTTAATTTAGTAATAAATAAAGACTTCTCTCTTGTTAATAAAGTATTATTTTGCAATATTTTGTACTATTATGTTGTAATATTATTTTGTTATATTGTTTACTGTTGTAAATAGATAGCTAGCCAAGAAAGTCATGAAGACTAAGTCACTTCATCTAGAAAGCTATCAATAAATTTTATGTACTACTGATCCAGAGTGGATTTACAATTGCTTGACTTAAGACAAAAAGGTTAAATATCTTAGTATCAACATTACTAAGCAGACCTACTCTTCATTTGAGCGAGATGTGTGGGTACTTTATGAGAAACTATAACTTTAAGGAAATGATATTTATAGGACACTCACTAGCAGAGACATTCATGGAGGTCACAGTCCTTTCTAGCTCATTTTCTGCAATGCAAGTTAAAGTCACATTTTCCTCAGGAGCAATTATAATTTTACTGGCAAATTTCCCATTAACATATTTTGTTTCCTCTGTCTGAAAAAGTAAAAAATGAAGATTAGTATCCTTTAAAAAAGCAAAAAACCATACATGCACTACCTGTATTACACATTGAAAATATTCAGAGGGAAATGTCTTTCAACAAATACTTCACTTTTCCAAACAATAGCAATTGAAATATGCATTATTTTATTAAATGGTAATGTGAATATTTGAAAGAAAACAATTTGGCAACATATCTAGTTATAGATAGTATAGTGTGCACTGGAAGATCAATGATAAAGAGGCTTTTTTAAAGAAAGGTAACCACATTCTGTATTTCCTTTTCTTTCCACTATTCAAAAAATATTCCAAGTGATAAAATTCTTCAAGAAAAACCCAAACTTCTAAGCTATCCTTTCTTTCCATCTTGCTATTTTTCATTTATATCTTTATAAGGAAAAGAACTGTTCTAAGTTTTCCATTTTTCAGCTTTCCAAGTTGTTTCCACACTTAGCATTATTTTGCCAAGCTATGTGTATTTGGTAGCACCTGTAGTATCTGTACTGTAATAGTGATGTGTTGTTCCTTAAATTTGCTGTACATCATTCTTGGATTAATGCAACATCCAGAGAAAATTATTTTCAATCATTTGTATAGCTTCAAGTAAATGGACACATTTTGACAGCTATACATAATTTCTGTAGGCTTAGAGCAAAACCTATTTGAAAATATATGAGATTTCATTTGAAAATGAAATCTACAGGAGCACTGTGCATTGTACTTCCAGTCACTGAATGTTTGTAGAGAGGTCTCATTTATTCTTCCTGCTAAGGCAAAACGTAGCAATGCTTTGCATGGGATGCGGTAATCAATACCAAAATACTTCAGTTTGGTTGTTTTCCAGGTATTTTCCCTGCTATATATGGGTACTTCTTATTTATCCCTCAGGATGAATGCATTACCCTTCTGTTTCCAGTGAGAAACAACAGGCATAACCATACAAAAGCAACTATAAAAATTAGGATAAAAGCTGCAAACCCCATAAGGAACGATACTGAATGTAATTTCTGACTCATACATGCCACATTTCATTGCATTTCACCCAGTTAATGCCTACAGCAAGTACCCATTTGCTTTCTAATATAAGTTCTATAGTTCCACCAATATTTGCAAAGTCTTTATGCAATGGCAAAATCAGCACATTAGACTAAGTACCTTCACTTAAAAAAATGCATATTTCATTTGTAACCTTTTCCTTCCAGTTTTGGCCTGTAGCCAGTGAATCTCCTTTGCCTCTTCACCTGCTCTATTCAAAAAACCTTTATCTTAAAAAAATCGTCCTTGTAAGGACCATATAGCTACAGCTACCACTTAACCTTCTCTTAGATAAATGAAAAAGACTTATTTTCTTCAATCTCACTACCTGAAAAATGTTCCTTGATTTTAATTTGCACATTATCTTTTGGTGAATAAAGTAGTAAGAAAGATACTTGCTTTATTTATGATGCTTCCAGTACCAGTAACTGTCCACTGCACTGCTGGTTTGGGGAAACCTTCCACATGGCAGATAATTGTTTTAGACATTTTATTTGTGTTGGTTTTCTTCGTCATTTTGATTTGAGGTTTTCCTACAAGAACAATATTACAGTTAATCCTTTTGTTTAAAAAGAACAATTAATCATCATAACTATCTGCTCACTTACCTTCCACAATAAGTTTAAGTGTCTGTCTTTTCCTTAATCCTTCGACCTCCTGTAGAGTAGTTTCACAGACGTAGTTTCCAGCATCTTGATACTGAAGACTTGAAAATGATGGACTTGTTTGCATTCTGGTATTGTCCTGATAAAGTAAGAAGTGACAGAGATTAACTCATGATACATTAATCCCTAAATTAAAAATATGACTACTTTCAACAGAAGTTTTTGCATGCTTTGGCAAATTGGAGCCTTACTCTTAAGGTGTTTCCCCATTAATAAGTACATTTCAATATACAGCATGAAAAGTGGAAACTACTGGAGATTTATGCAAGTCACCTCCCTTCTTCTTGAACAACTTTGCTTTCAAAAGAAGGGCAGAGTTATTAGCTCTAAGCTTTCCTAGTAGATTAGCCAAAACCACTACTGGTACAAACTGTTTGAAATGCAAGCAACTCCACTCCGGGCCAGGCTTCTGAGATCAACATATACTCGGTAAACAACCATCAGACATCATTATTTTAAGTTTCCAGCACTGCAGATTTGGTACCAGCCACTCAACACCCAGTGCTAACATCTGATCTCTCAGCCTGCTTTGTCCTTTTATTATGTTTATTGGAAACAAGATCAAGCTTGACTCTGAGAAAACAATGCACCAAAATTCTTCCAAATGGGGTTGCTTTCTTTCTTAGAGGAACCTGATTCTCAAAGGGCCTTCTGAAGTCTATTTCAAAAAAGTTATGTTTGTGTTACAGTATGCATTACTTCTTTACATTTGAAAACTGAACTGATAATTACAATAACTGATTTTCAGTCATCACTGTGAGTGAGTAGCTCTCATTTTAGCCATATGCATAAGACCCATTTTAACAATATTCTTTAAAAAGCCCAATGAACAACTTCCTTCCTTCCTTTCAAAACACTGAAGTAGCAGCAATAATATGAAGAGGTGAATGCTCAGATGAAGCATGAAGTAGATGAATTACTGACCTTTATCCAAAACACAGTTGCATTTCTACTAGAAGAAATTGTGCATGACACAGGCAGGGCCTCTCCAATCTGTTTTGTGACTTCTCCGCTAGGAGTAAGCTGCAAATCCAAATCTGGGATAGAAAGAACATTTGTCAAAAGTTAATCTCGGAAAGCCTGGCCCATTTCAAAGGCTTACCAAGAAAAGAAAATGTGACTAATTGCACTCATTAAATTCAAGATTTCACTTCTTCAATAAAATCTAAGTCAATTTTACAAGTAAGGGAGATGAGAGAATTATTCTAAAATAGGCATTGCAGAACATTCATATTTTTGCTGTAATTATAGGCTAAAAGGAAAAGCAAAACCTCACTAATCACTAGACAAATGGATACATTTTTTCACCTTGTACTGCTGAAAGAATGACAAAATAGGCACAAGAAGCTGAAGAAGTACTTCACACAGCAGTATGTGCATCTTGAAAGGGGAAGCACAGACTCCTGTGAGGGTAGCTTGGTATGGGCCAGGTAGAAATACATCTTCAGGGGAGAACTCGTGCAGGTGGGGACAGGTTAACCTAAATAGTAAGTGTCAAGAAAAAGACAGGAGGACAAGGGGTAATTTCCTTTAATCTGATAAAACAAGATTATTTTTATCATCAGAATCTGGAGGGGATGACAGTGGTCAAACAGAGGGTGCATGAGACATGATACTGACTGAAGTGAGAAGTCTGAATTATAGGTTTGGGGGGCTGCACATGAGGCCCCTTGATTTATTTGTTCTCATTTCTAACTTAAAATGCTATTTTTGTGTAACTCAAAAGAGTCCAAGCTCTGCCTGACATGTTTAAGCTCCAGGGAAATTGCAGTCATGGATAGCTGTGTTTGACATAAGGCATGGTGAGAGGCAGTAACAGACACTTCACGAAACACTGCTCTAGGTTTTTCTTAGTATAAGGAGTTGGTGGGCTGGCAATGTTGGTGGTATTTTTTGTTTGGTTGGTTGTTTTTTTTTTTTGTTTTTTTTTTTTTTTAAAGAAAATCCCAAACTGAAAAAAAAAGAAGGGTTTGCCAAACTAAATCTCTGTTTTGCTTCCCCTCTCACAGTGCCTTGCTTGAAAGCCAAGTTGCCTGGTCAAATGACTATCACAGATGAGTGCACATACACACACACATACATGTGCAGTCTCAAATGCACACATGAC